AGTTTTAATTTAAACATATAAACAAGCATTTAAAGATGGCTCATTTTGTGCAAGGAAGAAATTAACGAGGCACTGCGACAGACAAAAATGAAGATAACTGTTCCCTGTCATCAAGGGCATCAGTGGGAGGAAGGCAACCGCAATCACATGCACTTCTATGATGCTTTGTATATACCGCTACGACTGCAGAGGTCTGGCAAAGTTATGTGACTTTTTAATCCCATTTATACGGATTAAGAGAGGCAGGCTCCCATTTCATATATCACTAATATTAGTGAATAGTAGAAGAAAATGTGTTAAAAGTTCTTTTTTAAAAAATATTTTAGAAAGAAAAGAGTGAGCAATTAATATTGACTAATTGAGTGTTAAAGGATAAACGTTATTTCAATAGGCGTATTCCTTAGTGGGAGAAGAGCATGATCGAAGGCATGGAAACAAAATTGTATGAAGGTTATGGAATAGTGAATAATCTGCCTGAATTCAAGGGTAAGGTATGAGCAATGATTTAATGCTAGAAAATATAGGTTAGAGAAAGAGTACGCTAAAATAGAGAGATGGTACTTAATTTTTGTAGGCAATTGGAGACTTTCATGAAGAAAGGGGTCATTTCTGATCTGTGATTTAGGAAGGTTTTTCTAAAGCCAATTTAGAATATGAAATAGAAATGCAACAGAATATAGTATTTGAAGATCAGAGAAAGGGCAATTATGCAAGTGAAATATGAACTTTAGAATTGTTATTGGGAGTGAATATGATAGAGAAAAGATTTGAGAGACGTTTTGAAAGTAAACTATCTTGGTGAATTCCTGGCTGTTGGACGTAAAGAATAAAGAGTTAAAAATTACTCCAAATAGTCTAAAGAAGGTGTTGCTGTTATAGATGAAGGGAACACAAGTGAAGGTCAAGTTTGCTTTGGCTGGGAATAAAGTAACAAGAGAGGATGCAAATGGAAGAGAATGAATTCCCCTTTGGTCCATTAGATTTAAAGTACAGATAGGACAATCATGTGAAGATATTCAGCAGTTAGTGTGGAAATGTAACATAGTGAAGAGATCGGAGATAAAAGCTAAGATCACATTTTGGAAGATCCTCACCATAAAAATGATAGAATAAACCACAGGAATAGATATGTATGTTGACAATATCATGATCTCTTATCACAGTACATGTCAAACAACAGCCTTGGATATAGAAATATACTGTCCCATTTCAATTTAAAGAATCTTTCACAATACAGTTTTAAAACTAAATAACCAAGGTACTCTCTGTTCAGAAAAGTATCCTCTTGCCAGTCCCATGTCCTTGCCAGGACATGAGGTGTCCTACTTATCAAATATTCTTTTTTTAATGAATAGACTGTAATCGACTCTATAATTGGAGCATGTAAAACTAAAATTACACTAAATTAAATTAAATCCTGCATTAATGATTAAAATATATGCAAATCTGCCCCTATCTCCCACCTGAATATTTCTCAGAGTCTTTAGGAACTCAGGTTTAGTTGTTTTCACTCCTCACTGAGGTTTAGGGTTGCAAAGCATCTTCTGGGTTAGATCTCATTGCCCTCAATTCTTTGACCAGGATGATGCTGTCCCCTAACATACTTATTACAATGAAAGCTCTAAAAGAGCCACGATGGTGCTGTTCTCTGCAGTTCTTACTGTCGTAGAATGTAAAGTGTTCTTAGCAGAAGTGGTAACAGGAACCCTTTCTTACAAGGCCTAACTGTAGTCTTTGAGGCCCTCCTGATTTTCCTCCACTAATTCTGCCTTTAGCCTTCGGCGCCTGAGTTTCCCCTCAAAGCCCTTCTCTGCATGCAAATCAGCCAGACAGCTCTGGGTCACCAGACTCACTAATTTCTCACACAGACTTACACGGCTTAGGACCACCCCAGTGCTCCTCAGCCTCTCCAGCCAGGCACCTGCCTCATAACCTGGGGAACTATAGAGTTTATTGTCTAAACCAGGACACTTTTGAGAGTGCTAAAATGCTAAACCAGATGGTACTTCAAGACAACAGGCATAAACTAGGAAGTATGGTCACCCTACCCGCGACTATAATACAATGTGATAAATGCAATAATAAAAGTTTAAACACTTTGCAGTGGAAACGTTTTGAATGTAATGCACCAAAGGGTCAAAATTTGTTTCCAATCAAAAACATCTCTAAACTATTTTCCAATTGGCATCGTGATAAAAACCACACCGTTGAACCGGGGATATTTGTACCAAGCCACACAGCAGAGCCCTGGATCTGGAAAGAAATAACCTTTCGACGTCTTGGAAACGGATTTTGTAACTTAGGATTCCTTAGGACAAGCTCATTTTGTGGTTTGGTCAACACCTTAAGGAACTGAGTCTCAAAAATCTCTGGAAAGATTGTGAGGATATTTAATTGACAATAATGATAATAAAATAAAAATTATAGATGACATTTATCTTATTTTTCTTTACATTTACTCTGTTCAGGGCTTTATGTTTCTTAACTCATTTAGTCTTCACAATTATACTCCGTGGAGATAAATTTGACTTCACAGGCTAGTGAGTCCTAGATATACTGGCCACAGTGATATATATATACAGATATATAAATATATATATATTTATCTAAATATATTCATCCCTAAGAAGACCTGGATAAGAGTGTCCCAAAGCAGGCAAAGGCCATAAGGCAAAAACAAGGTTGATCCATGTACAATAGAATACAAGCTCCATGAAGGAAGACACTGTTTTATTCACTTCTCTATTTCTTAAAAGAGTCACTGAAACAAGAAAAAATTAGTAAATACTTGAAGAATGTGTGAATGAATGAATGAACGAATGATGAAACCCATAGAAAGAGGTGGGCTTAGAGAAGAAGGCAGTTATTATATCTTGTAGACTCTAATGGTGGTGGAAAGGAATTTGGAAAAATCTCAAACTCTATGTTTAAATCATACCACAAGTATTTCTACGTTCTGTATAAATCATTTTCTAAAAAGGGAAGGTATTTTTTATCTCTTTGGGAGATCTAAAGATGAATAAAGGTCTAATTTTATTTGTGAATAATATCTTCTATTCCAAAGAAGAAATCTGAAATGGTATAATTTTATTTTTCAATGTAAGTGTAAGGTCTCACTTAAGAGATCTCTGGAAACAAACTATATGCACGATCGCATGTATGTATATGTTGACGTGTGTTTGACTACTTGTCAGCATGGATGCTATTCTAAAATGTAAACGTTTTGGACAATATGAGCAATTCACAGTGTGATATCCAAGTTTATGTAAATTCGAATACAATTGACCCAAGGCTTTGTGGGACCCTATGCAAAACAAGATATTCAGACCTTTAGGCAGATTTCTATATTCCACACACCTGAGGGCACGGAGAAATATGGGGAGGAAAGAGGCGACATTTTTTAAGATCACCTTGGGTTTTTGTAGACTGACCTCTGGGGGATGCAGCTGATTCTCTTCTTTCCTTGAAGAGATGAGCCCCTAGCAAGGAAAGCTTTATAAAACTGAACAGAAGACACATTATGACCGTTAGCTATTAATTGTAATGCTCAAAAAGAGACATTTTAAATAAAATGTGGTGAAAATTTTTATAGAATTATGCTTCTTTGCAGCAAATTTTGTTCCATATTAATCCATCAGTTTTGCAGACTTTGCCACCTGGTGGATAACCTGAAAACTACAGGATTTTTTTTCCCCCCTAATGATGAATTTCCATGCTCTACAGAAAGAATTGCCTAGGGCAAGGATTTTGTTTTGTTCTTTGGTGCTCCTAGAACAGTGCCTGACACTCAGTAGATAATCAATAAATAGCTGTTAAATGAATGATGATATCATTGGAGGTGTACTCCTTTTGAAGACTTATTAAGGAGAATGTAATTGAAAATATAATTACAGTGTGGTGTTAGGCAAATGTCTATATTATTGGGTTAGAAATATATCTACAAAGTTTACTAGGAACAGGAGATGTCATCATTGCTCTATGTAAACAGATAATGCAGATAGTTTAGTTAAGTGAGAGCCTAACTTTTTCACTCCAACTGTTCTAATTTAAAACTGAATGTACCTTGGAAAATGCCCTTTCTCCTTTCTCTAAAAATAAGCTTTATTCTTGCTTTGCGCTGTGATGCTTACTATTCTCTTTTTCTGAGGCCAAAAATTATGGAGACTTGTTAGCCCTCTTTAAAAGAGTACATATACCTGAAACTAATACAAAATAATGCTGAATGTCAACTTTAATTGAAAAATAAAAATCAAAAACAGAAAAAAGAAAAAGAAACGAATATGTATGCATATGTGTAAATATGTTATTCTTTTTCAAAATGACATTCCATTCTTCTACTTCAATGAGCCTAAAGTGTTAGTGACTCTGAAACATAGTTCTCCTGGCGTAAAGTTTGATGATTTTAAAAAACAGAACAATGATCATAATTTTAAAATAGAGTATTTCTCTGATTTTTTTTGATTTTAGAAACTTTCTTTTGGACATATTTTAAGAAGCAAAACATATGTTTATGTTTTAGCACCTTAAAATTTGGACTGGAAAAATTCTTTAGGTAATCTACCTCAAATTTCTTTTTTTTTTTGAAGATTATTTTCCATTCTAAAATCAGCAAAATATGTAAACGTATAACATACAACAATGCATTAGTAGTTCATTAAAATAACTTAATCATTTTGTTTTCAAATCAAGCAGATTTTAGACTGGCAATGACCTAACTCATTTTAATAATATATTGTTGATTACAATCTTGTTTTATTTTTAAGCCAAAATTGTATGTATTCATTACAGAAAACTCATTTATGTCACATAGAATTAAAACTCTTCAGAGTTCCTAGTTTTAAACAAATATACATACATCTAAATAATTATTAAATCCGAAGCAAACAATGACTTTATTTTGACAGAGTCTATAGGAAATGCAGCCTTACATACATAACCTACCAAACAACAGAAAACTTAAACATGCCAGCTTTGAAGTAGTCAAAAATTTTTCAGGATGAGAAAGCTACATTATGAATGAAAATATCCACATTTCAAACACTTTGAAAGTGGAAGTTGCTTCTAAGGTGATTTTTGCTGCTTTGAAAAAAAAAGAGGTTTAAATACAGTTTTATAATCATTTCTTACGTATCTGTTGATTAAGCATAACATTCACATGAACATACAAAATAACATACACAAGAAAAACAAAATTTAGAATAACATTTTGTATTGTAGTATGTGTGAAATAATTTGTTTTTTTTCCACTATATCCCTGGGTCAAAGTTTATAGCATTTACTTTAACCAGCTATCTTTCTCATTTTCATAAGGGTCCCACGAGGCAATAGTCATACATTGTTACTTCAGCCTTCACAAAGGCAAAACAGTACAGATCCCTGTACTGTAGTAGACAACACAGAACAGTCCCAATTTCAGTTCCTGTTACATTGACAAGACTCCTTCAGGTAAGGGATTAAAACATTCTTTTATCATTATAAGGTTAGTGACCATTTTAATGGAATAAAAGGATTATTTCTGCTGCATTGGGGATAGGAAGTTTGGGATATGAATATGTGTGGAAGATGTCTTTTCCCTTTTATGCTTGTTCAGAAGTTCCCTTTAACTGGAATAAAGCTAGCTCTATAATCTCAGATTAATATTTATGATAAATGTTATTGAGGACACAGATTGTATAGCACCTGATCAAAGAAATTTTTTCAACGTACTTTTTTTTTTTTAATCAAGAGAAGATAGGTGATTTTCACAGGCTAAAGTTTTTGCCTTTTAAAATCAACCATATAGTGCTACTTATATTTGTTCTATCAGTGTGACTTAAAAAAATTCTAAATTTACTAACCTCACACAATGTGTAACATTTTAAAAATAAATAAGAGTTTCAAAATTAATTCTTCCTGACTTATGTGGGAAAAGATAGTGCGGGTCACACAAATACATATTCAGACATGAAAATGTTAGAAATTAGAGAGAAAAAAACAATAAATATAATCTCTAAAGTTGTCAAAAGGCTTTCAAATATCTAATTACTTCAGATTTTACATTTTGATATAATTTATTGTTTAAACGAAAAGATCCCTCATTTGAGAGAGGGGCTTTTAAAAGATAAAAGTAAATCAAGGTAAGTGATATTACAATATGAAAGTTAAACAATAAGGCTTCCATTTTGCTACAAAATACAAGTGAATTATGTTTCATAAAAGTGTAAACTTTATAAATGACATTTCATATGGTCAGATATAAAATGTAAGTTATTTTAGGAAGATTAAACAGCATTTTAATTTTGATTTTTTAATGATTTCTTGCAAATATTCATTTATTACTTTCCAATCCACATCTAGAAACGAAGAAGAAAAAATTATTTAACTCATAAGTTAGTGGTTCTTTCTTGGTTTATGTGGGGTAAATTCTAATTTCATAGAGGGGAATGTATTATGATAATTTCTAAAATATAACTGTGTTTTTAGTGTTTTGCATACATGCCAGATAGTTAAAAACATTTTGTTTCAAAATAACTGCATATGTATAAAAGCCAAATATACCGTTTGTTGCCGTGGCGTTATAATTTGATAGGGGAGCAATAATTTTTTCTGTAAAGTTAAGTTTTACAACCAAATGTCATCAATTAAAAGCTGAGCCAACGACTAAAAGAACTAAATTTTATTAAACTGGAGATGTGATCTCTTCATTGTAATTGTTCTCATAAAAATTATGTGAGCGTTTTGTATGTGGTTATCCTAAATGTTATGTATGTTCTTTTAAAAACTCTTCGTTCCTTTTTTCCTTTCACTTTAACAGTGTTCTGCCACGTGACTAGCACAAACCATACCGCCCCTGTTTCGGCATCTTAGGTGTACCACTGGAGATTCCAAAAGGAATAAAAATTACTAGAAGTAATTTTTATATTTATGAATAAGGGAGGGTTGTGTCCTTTTGAGCTCTGTTGCACCGGATCGTTGATACGTCTTCTCATTAATATCTTCTGTGACTTCCACTAGAACTAAACAAATCGCGTGGCTTTAAAAGATTCTGATCGCCTGGGGGTTGGAGAGGATGGAGTGTCTTCTCTGTCTCCCGCGTCCACTTCCTCTCCCTCCAGGTGTGTATTGGGAGGGGGCTATGGGGGGAGTTGTGGGGGGCGGGACGGTGTGATATAAACAGAGGCAAAGTAGGGAAGCGGGGCTAAATCCCTCCAAGATTCCAGGACCTTATCTCCACGGAGCACTTAAGGCCCCACTATCGCATCCTTTATCTCGTGGTCTCCCTACTGCAGGGCCTGGTGCGCAGATTGGCGGCTCTGCCTCCGTGGCGGGGCTGGGGGTGGCGATGGGGTTCGGCGTTGGGGGTCTTCTCACTGCAGAGAGGGAGCGGGTAAGCGAGTTCCGTCCCATTCTGTTTCAAGACCGTGTCCGCCTCGCTTTCTGGAACCAAGTCGACCACAAAGTTGGAAGAAATAGCGTGAATTGTAAAGGGGGAGAACCCCCACCCTCCCCCAGTCTCGAGAGAAAAATCTTTCCAAAACATTGGTGCCTGATTTTACTTAAATTCTTTGCAATCTTTCTTAGCTGCCTGTTTTTGTCTGGAGATGGTTATAAAATGGATTTTCGAACTGTTGGGTTGAGGAAGGAACTAAGAAGGAACCTGGAAGGCTCAAATCAGCACCCACCGAAGTGTTAGGAGTCCCGCGGGCCGCATCCGAGGCGGGCCCGGCGTGTGCTTCGCGAAGTCCGGCGAGGCTGCCGCAGGCGTGGATGAGACAGCCTGCCGAGAGCTTTGAATTGCGAGAGCAGCGCTTCAGGATCTGTTTGCATTAAAAAAGGGCGCGGGATGGGGGGTGAGGGGGGAGAATATTTGTAACCGGATGAAACCAGTCTCGCTCCTTCATAGAGAGCACAGTTTGGCCGCTTGCCTGGCGCTGGGGCACGGCCACAGCAGCTGCTGGGTTCTGGAGGAATTCAAGTCTTAAAATAAATGATCAAGGATAATTCATTCCCGAGGCAAACGGCCCGTCCCTCCGCCCCCACCCTCAAGGAGATTCTAGTTGAACTTCAGGGCAGATCGTTCCCATCGTTGGCTCCCGGGGCCTGGGCGCGCGGTGGCCTCGCAGCCGCCTGCACCCCGAACGCTGCGGGGCACACGACCACCAGGACCCGCACCATACTCAGCTTAGACCTAAGCTCCCGCAGGCCAGAAGCTTCCAGGAATGGACAAGCTTTCAGTTAACCAAGGCGCTTGAAATGGAATCCAACGAAGCAGGAAAAGCTGGAATCTCCGCGTCCTGGGCTGTGGAGCAGCGGGTGGAGAGGCTGGGGAAAGGCGTGCGGGATGGAGGATCGGTCCGCTGGGCTGAGCAGTGCTGCGTTAACTCTGCCGCAGCTCCCAAATACACTCTAACAATTCAGGTTTACGGTCGACTCGTGTCACCAGCACATAAATCATTGTCAGCCGGGACAGCGGGGGCAGAGCGATCCCGCGCGCCCTGGCCACTTCGGCTCTATGCAGGATAACAGCCCCGGCTGGGCGCGAAATTTACCGACCCGGGACTTTTGCCCGGAATCTTTCCACCCGAGTTTCCTCTGTACTTTAGCAGACAAGCAAAGGGTGCTGGGGGAGAAGTTTATAGCAAGCCACCGCGACCGCGTCTGCTTGCGATTGTTTTCCAACAGTCAGAGAAGGCAAGAGCACAGCAAATCTCATCATGTGCATGGGTAACCCTGAGCCCATCAAGGTTAAAGTGCCATTCTCAAGGTCACAGAAAGCTCTAGGAAAGCTGCTGTTTGATCCTACGTCTCTTGATTCCCGCTCCTTCCATCATCCCGAGAATAAGTATACCCGTAAAGGATTCACTATTTGCTGTCATAGCAATTTGTCAGTATAAGTTTCAATGTGATATTTTCAGTTATCGGCCAAAGAATGTACTTCAGATCTTCTTTCTCATCCTACCTCACCAATTCAGATGAAAGGAATCTCAGGCAACCTCAGACAGATGTCAGGGTACTGGACAACCAGTTCACCTTCCAGCGAGAAACCCACCGCCCATCCAAGTCAAGCAAAGGAATTCTGTACAGAGCCAGGGACTGGGGCAGATGGAGGACGAGGGGGTTGGGCACGGGCTTAGAGAAATGCCACAGCGAGGCAAGTGGTCAGGCAATCAACTTTCACCTTCTCATACACTGCTATTAGAAAAGGGACTGGTTTTCGTCCAGCAAACTCTCCCCTCAGGCGCTCAGGGCTTGACGTTATCGTGATTATTTCTCACTATTCACACCCATTATTTTAGGAAAACACACACACACACACACACACACACCCCTCCACATTTTCAGTAAAGGTGAACTCAAGCCATTTCGGGTTCTCTTTGTCCCTATAGTTTATTTATTTTTTGAAATCTGGGTTGGAAAGTTGGTAGCCCCCCAGAGCATTTATTTTTAAAAAGACCACAAAGTATTGATCTGTTCCCTTTTCTTCTCATTCAAATGATC